TTCCATCCGAATCAATGTAGGCACAAAGCACACGAACAAAATATGTTTTTAAAAAAACGTACGAACGAACGAAAAGAATCAACAATCGCATGGAATTATGCGTCCATTACGGATGTGTATATGTACATTTATTATCAAACTTTGGTCAATATTCATTAATTCATTTGTTTTGGTTGGCGTGCATGCGCCTCGGTTTATGTGTATGTGTATTCTTTTCATTTTTGTTTTTGTTTTTTTATTTGTTGTGAGTGAATGTGGGCTTAGTCTTTTTTTTGTGTATTTATTTAAACACAAATGAAACCTTATTTTTTGTTGTTGTTGTTGTTGTTGTTGTTTTAGCCAAGACAGTAAATAGCAAATGAGTGGTTGTGAAAATTCAGATGATTCCATAGCATCGATAGAGCAATTTTCAATGTTTTGTACGCAGCAATCTCTCATATTTACAATTTAAAACAAAAAAAAAAAAACATTTCGAAATTTCTGAAAGAAAACTTTTGCAATTGTTATAATCAACAACAATATGGAATATTTTGCATACGGTTTTTTTTTATAGATTCGGTGCGTTTAGTTATAGTATAATCTGTAAAATGATTCATGTTCATTCACATGATACGTAGGCTTGTTTTCCATTTGAAATAAAAAATGGTTTTTCCGGGTTCGTGAGTGAATTTCCGTTGCATAGTCGTTAATTTTCCTTTTTTTGAAAAAAATTGAGCCGATTTTTTTTGGCAGAAATAATATTCATTTTGCATGTATTTCGCATAGTTTAAGAATATGTATTCTGAATTAGTAGACGATAAAATGTTTCAAATTTGAAATTGTGTTTGTAAAGCGATTATTTGATCGACTCTTTCGATCTCTGTTTGCAGTTTCACTGATTATTTAAACACAAACATACACATTTTGATCATTCTTGATCGAATTGGAAAAAATTGATCGGCATGGCTGTGTCTGAATGATGAAGTGCTGGCCGAATGAGGGAGGCTTAAATTTTAAAGTGTTCATCGTAAATTTATCTAAGGCAATTTATCTTTATGTTTTTTTTTCGAACTTCGGCCAAAGATGTTGAATGTTTCATTCGTTCAGAACTGCACACACCAAAATGCAAAAGAAATAAATTCGATTTAAGCTAAATATTGGAAAATACGTCATGAAATGTCTTGTTGATTCGACAAATAAAAAGGTTATATACACATGGTCACACAGCTAAAAGACTTTACTGATTCAAAATCGAACTGAACGTATGCACGAACAAGTGGCAAATAACCCGTAATAATAATGTTTTTCTTTCTGAATTACGACGAGTACAAAAGATGTGTGAAAGCTCTTTGTCTTTCTCTTTGTATCAAACTGCGTGATAACAGCAAACATGCGTGTCTGGATATTGCATATTTTGCGTACGTATGGGTGATCTTGCTGAATCAGTTGACAAATTGTTTTTGTTCATTTTAAACACATACAAACTATGATAAATTAAACATAACAATGCTTCGGAAAAACCATTTCCTTCACTTGGTCTGTTAAAAAAAAGATTGATTTACGGATCCGTTCTATTGAAACTATTTCCATCTTGTTACGCTATTTATTTAGTATTTGTTTTCTGTATTGCTGATGGTCATAGTGAGAATGTTGTGTTACATTTTCTTCCATTTTCATCATCAGTGATTTGTTTTTTGCAAATGATGTTGCAACTGCGGGTTCCCGTTTCTATTTCGTATGAGTTCACTTAATATTTGTATGTTGAGCTTCCGCTATTCTTTTGTATCAATGTGTATGCGTTTTTTTGCCATTAATATTTATGTATAAACATTTTATCTATCTTAAGAACTAATTTTGTTTGTTTGTTGTTATTGTTGTTTTTAAGCTTTTCATTTTATTTTTTTTGTTGAATTTGTGTGTATAAGTTTAAACTCAAAGGTATTAATGATATTTTGTTTCTATTATTTAATGTTACATATTGATTAAATTTATTACTCTATTAACGCATGCTAGGAAAGGGAGTAAATGCTTAAAAAAATTGCCTGTCAATTGATGTTTTATTTTTTGTTTTGTTCTTTTTAACGGTACTTTCGGGAATAAAATGGAAGGAGAATGGATTCAAAGATGTGCCGCACAAAGTCGGCTTTAATATTTTCCAGCGAGTCTTTTGATTCAATTTGTTTGGATTATGTGTGTGTGTGTGTTGAAAGTCGCTTTTTTAAATATTTACTCCGGCATGTGATACTAGTGTATAACGAAAAAGAAATTATAATTGTAGTCGTAATTATAGCGATAAAAAAATTGAAAAAAGAAAAACGAAGGATAATATTGATGTATATAATATATTGTTGTGTGTGTGTTTATTTTATTCAAAGAGGATGCAATGTCTTGTGAAATGCCAACGAACGGTCCTTTTTTTCAAAGGTCCACTCATATGCAATGCATCCAAAGACGCTTTGCATTCCCTTCGATTTGCTTTATAAAATATTGTACTGTTCCAATATCTCATTCGGTTTGCTTTTATCTTTTGATATAAATATTTCATATTTGGAATATTTGGGTATGTAAATTTTTTTTGATTCACTTTGTGTTAATTTTATTATTTTAAAGATTTTTTTTTGTAAATTTTTCTTTAATATTTTATACTGTACTGTAACTGTTGAACATTACTGAAGAAAAAAAAGAGTTGTGGTAGTGATGGCGGCTGTGTTTGTGTGTGTATGTGTCTGTGTGATGTGGCTATGGCTATTTTAAGTTATTTTTTTATTTATTTTTTTTTTGTTGATTTTCTGCTTATTTTTCTATGTGTGAATATGTCCTGTTTATTGTTATTTTAAGTAGTTGTTTGCTGTAATTAATTTTTCATGAATTTAATCACTAATTAAGTTGTAATATTGTTGAGAACAGTTTAATCTAACTTATTTTGTTGTTGTTGTTTTTTTGCGGTTGTTTTTTTGTTGATTTCCTGTTTTGCATTATAATTAGAATACAAAAAATTGTAATCAAGTGAAAGAAAAAAACAGATGTATCTATTGCTGAATATGTGGTTGGTTAAATGTAACAATCGACTGGCGGCTTTGATTTGTTTTTAGGGGGGTTGTAGTTGTTATTGATATTATTGTTGTTGTTTGATGATGTTTTGTTGATGTTGCTATTGTGGTATAATGTGGTGGTTGTCATTTTGTTCTATTGTGATTACCTATTATGCGGTTTTCTATTTTGAATTGTTGTTATTGTTGTTTGTATGTGTGTTTGTCGGTTATTTAGCTGGTTTTCTATTTCGGTATGTGTTCGGTTTATTGTTGTTGTTTATTCTTTCTGTGAAAACATTCGGTCCAAATTTCTTTGCCAATGGCTGAAGAAAATGATATATATGTTCGTATCGTATACGAATCAGGATATGCATGCACAAGGTGCCTGACTGATTTTTCGGTCATTTTCACATAGTTTTAATCATCATTTCGGATGTAACTGAGCGACTGTTCTTCGGTTTCAAATAACCAATATTTGAATGCGTTGTGAACGCTTCTCGTCGCTGTTAGGTGGATAACATTGTACTTGTCACTTTGAAATCATTTCTTGTGAATTCAATGCTGTCGAAGACTTCTTCCAACTGTTGATATGGCATGATGACATGTGGGGGGGGGCATTCTTCCTTGTGCATGCATCATACTGATGAAAAATCAAACAAAAAAAACTGTTCTTCCAAAACGGTGTTCTCGTGTTCTATTGTTTTATGTACGGCAATTTTGAATAGCAGCAGCATATAAATATTAAACAAAAAATACATTCAAGATGTTCGAAGCTGTATTATCTAGTCGTTTGGGGCAAATTGTTTCTCTTAAATGTTTTGTTACTATCCAATCTGCGCAATGGTATCACCTACCCGCCCTTTTTTTCCCTGCAACAGCGCAAATTTTTCAATTTCGATTTAAAATCAAATCAACTTCTTTTTATCGTTTCAACAAAGAAACTATTTTTGAATTTTTTTAAGCTTTTGAACGAAACATTTCTAGCGCACATTTTAAACGAACCAAGAAAAAAAGTGTCAAGCAAATGAGCCCTTTGCGCAGAATTCCAATCATCGAATCGGAAAATGAGTAATATAGGTTGTTTGAAAAAGAAAAAAAGAAAAAACAAAAAAAGTATAAACAAAAGAATTTATACAAAAAGAAAAAGAGAATTCAAAATAAAATTGCTTTGATTTTTTTGTAACTTTCTTAACTATTTGAAAAAAAAAGAAGAAAAAAACAAAAAAGTTGTTCTGCTTGTGTGTATGTGTGTGGGGGTGTATAAAATAATATTGAAAAGAAAAATAAACAATTGCACTATTACACTTTTTTTCTCACTTTTTTTTCTTGCTCTAATAAATTTGAAGTAACATTTTTTTTACTTGTTTAATTTCTCTTTAAATATATTTCAACTGGACCTATATACTTTTAATATAGTCAATCTTATTTCTCTCCGAATATAAACACATTCCCCGAAGGCTTTATTTTGTTTCTTTACGATAATTTTTTTTAAATGTTGTCGGTTTCCTTTGTTTTAAGAGTGTACCTTTTTTGCTAACTTATACAACTGCTCTATTTATGATTTTTTTTATTTGTTTTTCATTTTGTTTACATTTATACGTAATTTTTTTTAACTATAATTTTCATTTTCCTTCTTCATCATTATTTTCAGTATCATTCCCTCCTACCTTTTTCTTTTAAATATGTAAATAGAATAAATTTTTATTCCCTATGTATTGTTTGTTTGTTTCATCTTTTTTAAATAATATTTCATTAGCGAATATGTTACCGTTATATCGATCTAATTGCACTTTTATTTCATAGTTTTTTAGTTAAATTATATTCTTTTAGGTTTGACATTCAAAACATTCAAACGAATAAACGAATTCACTGTGTGTGTATGTGTGTTTGAAAGTTTTGTTAATGTGATCTCATTTTGTTTCGGTACATTTTTTTAGTGTATATTTTTTGTTTGTTTGTATCAATTGTCCTAAACAATTTCGCAATTCATTTTTTTTTTTAATCTCTAAGTCCATTCAATGTACCGGTTGTTTCACTAAATTTAAAAAGTAGAAAATATACGTCTGCAGAAAAATTACCAAAGAATTATTTGTTTGTTTGTTTTTTTAATTATTTTTGTTAGTTCATTCAGCGGTGGCGGTGTCGGCGGCATTTTTTTGTAGTTTGTTTTCATTTCTTTTTGTTCTTTCATTCGAAAATTGAAAAAATACAATATTTTCATATCATTTAGCGTTCCACATGTCCATGATTTTCCCCGTTTCATTTATCCTAAATGGCAAAATGTGCGATCTTAATTTAACTTGTATTTTTTTTATTCACATTTACTAAACCTTTCCACGTGATTTTATTCCCAGCTTTTGTTTCAAACTCATTCACATGGTTTACTTGTTGTGTGTATATGTGTGTGATTATCTCTTTCTCATTTCTTTCTCTTTTGTTTTGTTTAAACGTTATACTTCAAATATAAATGGCAAAAAGGATAAATAAAAAAAACTTCTACCAAATCTCGTGCAGACGCCTGTTTTTCATATATTTTTTTTTTTTTGTTTTTCATTTTTCGCTCTCTGCATTTCTCCTATTATTTTCTTCACTTTTTGTTTTGCTCATGTAAATTATCTATTTTCTCTTCCCGTTTTGTTTTAAACGCATTAAATTTTCTGTTTGCTATGATACTTGCTGAGAAAATATACATCAAAATTTTGGATTATTAATCACAGATAGTGTATATAATATTTTTTGTTGATTTTTTTTTCTTTAAATTTAAACTTGTTTCGCTTCATTTGAATTTTTTTTTTCTTTCATCATTTTTTTTCATTCATTCGTCGTTTACTTGTTATTTTTTCCCCTTTCGCTCCAGCGGAAAATATATCAGCTATTCGCAAGACGTGTGAGAATATGGATGCATTTTCCATTCCGTAATAAATAGAGTAATAAATATACTCTTTATTTCTATATCATTTAGTTTTGTATGTGTGTGTGTGTGTGTGTGTGTTTGTGTGTGTTAAGTGTATATAATTTCTGTATACTCGTTTCCAGCATTTGCATAAATTTTCATCTTCTATATTGTGTTTGTCTTAGATGTTGATGAACTATTTTTTTTCTCGTCTACTTGTCTTATTTTGTTGTAGATGTACAGTACAATGCATTCTCCCGAAAATATATATATACTCTATAGTTCAATAGCTTTTCGTAGATTTTCTGCTTTGCATTACTTGGATTATTATTATTTTTTGTTCCTCTCATTGAGTTGTTACTTCCGATGTTTGAGTAGTATTGAGTAGTAACATTGCTCAAATATTAAAAGACATCATTATCGGTTCTAATCGCTCAATAATCTATCAATAAAAAGACATCGTTCGACAGAAATATTCAGGATTTTACATGACCAATAACCCTTCTTATGTTCCAATTTGAATTCTACAATAAACAACATGGTTTAACTCTTGTTTTGGACTGTTTTGGAATGCAGAAAATGAAATGTGAATGTGTTTTGTTGGTTGAATGAATAGCAATAATTAACGATGATCTAAAGAGTTTGATGTGAGTTTTTCTGTTGTCAAAATTGAATTTTTGATCGATTTTTTTTGTGTCAAATGCGATTTCTGGTTACAAGAATAAACAAATGGATTGACAATATCTATCTCGGATGGTCGAAAGAATAATCGAATCGGTGTATACAAGGACCCAATAAAAAAAAACAAACCAATCGATTTTGATATGATAGGCACACGATTGTGATTTGCTTCAATCGTTTGAAGACTCTTTTTTTATATATTATAGACTAAATGAATCGAATACATTCTGAAACAATCGCATTGATTTTCCAAATTATTCCCTTATATTATCCGCATTTTATTTTTGTTCCAAAAATGGTTTCACACATTTGATTTTTGTGTATGTGTGCTTTTGTCCCCGTATAATTGTATATATTTTGTTTTCCATTCAATAATAATAAACTATAACCACGCGGTGGCAAAATATTCGGTTCCAAAATCGAAAGTATCGAACCATTAAGGATGTTTTGATCATTACACCGAAATAAGAAATATCTATGATTATTTTTTTATTTTTATTTTTTTTTTGTTTTGTTTTCATTGAGGTATACGCAACGTGAAGACACACACATATATTATGTAGTATTATATTTAATACACAGTATATAATATTATGATTTTTTTTTTTGTTGATGGTCTAGACTTGTCGCCCAGTGGAAAAAATGTTTATAGCAAAAATTAATGTTAAACCGTACTTTTCAGTCGATGGACATTTCGGTTTTTTTCTTCTTCTTTGAAACGAATATGGTATGTTTTATGGTTTGCGAATGAGCAACGTTTGACAGTTCAATGCATTTATGTGACTCGTGGAATCATTACAATTATGATTGTTTTTTTTTCTGTCATTCAATTATGGTGGTTTTGTTTGGATTTTTGATCACGCACAGAACAACAACAGCGGAAAAAAAAGTGCCAGCCTCATGAGTGCATTGCTCTGTTAAATGATGCGGATCTCGTGTCGTTTCGCTGTGAAAAGTATGGTTAAAGCTGGTCGCGGTATGTGATTCGAATGTCAAAAGTAGTTTCGCAACCGGCTTTCATATTTTCTTAAAATTTAGGGTTTCTGTGTGGGTTTTTTTCTCACTTTTATAAACATCAAACGATTATAACTTGTTAAAATACTACACATTTTATATGCATATATGGAATGCTTCCTAATACAAATGTTTTTTTTTGTCGTTTACTCATCCATTAATACAATAATTTTGAAACACCGAAGTATATAGTCATATAATTGTATAATGATATAAATTTTGTGGTTGTGTGTAAATCGTTAATTTTGCTTAATTTTCATTCAATACATAGTTTAGTTTTACATATATAATGATTCATTTTCCTCACATAACATATTTATTCACGATTTGATTTGATAGACACTTCATTGTTTTTTTTTTCTTTTCTTTCAAAATTACTCGCCGGTGTGTTTTATGCATGCATATTATGAATATTTTGAAGACGACCGATAGATGTGGTACCGAGAGAGATGTGTTTTTGTACTAAAAAAATAGTAATTTTTAGCATAAATTTTGTCCGATGTCATCGTATCTGGCGGTAGGCATTCAAAACACACGTTGGAGCAACCAGTCCCATATTTAAATACAATTAAGTCTTTGATTTTACGATTAATTTGATTTGGTTTCGTTTGTATAGAAACGTTATAAATCTCATAGCCAAAAAAGTATATGATTTTTTTTTGTTTGTATGTGTGTGAGTGTGTGTTAATTATTCTTCATTTGTTTTGATTCCATAATTAAACCTGTATGTTTTTGTGTATGTGTGTTTAAATATACTTTGTCGCCGCTTGATTTGACAGCTTGAAATTATCTGAATATTGAAATCAGAATGTTGCAGCAAAGTTTGTTCGTTAACTATAACAAACTATATATTTCGCATACAAATTTCAATCGGTTTATTTCCAACTGTTCATATCTCCATAATGATTTTTTTTTCTTCTCTTTTGGTTTGGTCAATGTGCCTGATATAAAATAGACATTCAATATCTAATATATAATTTTTTTTTGTTTGTTATCATTTAATCAAGATTTTAGAGAATTTTCTGAAGTGGATACAAATTTATTTTTTTAACGAAAGAAAAATCACATGAAAATATTACAGTATTAATGGGGGAATGAAAAGTCTTTTTTGAAGAAGTGACGGGAATGTGGCAGGGGTTTTATTTTTGTTTTTATTGTTGATATTGCGATTCGGTTGAACATTGTGTGTGTATTGGTGATCACTGATAGACTTTTGTTTGATATCTTTTATTTTTAGCTTCATGTGACGGCGATGATTGTTCTATTATTATGATTATTATTTCGGTTAAGCTGTTTTGATGTGGTGGACTTTTTCAATTGGTTTGAATTGTGTTAGAAGGAGCTCTCTGGCAAAATATTGCAACTTCTAAATGTGAGTCACCTGCCATTTTTTGTTTTGTTACTACAAATACCAATCAATGTGTTTTCAAATGGATCATTTGAAATGGATGATCTACATTTGATGAATGAACGACGAAACGAGGTCTTTCTTCATTCAAACACAAATTACGAAAAGCTCTAATTCTCAGTCCATTGCATGCGCATGGCTTTGGATTGTTTAAAATTGAAATATCACTTAATTCATGTGTGGAAATTGGAATTGTGAACGAAAAAAATGGCATCAAGTTTTTTTTTGCTTTATAACTGGTTTCCGCGTAATTATTCCTCTTTTCTCTCTTCGGTTTTTTTTTCTTCCCATTTATTTTCATTTGACTTTTAGTCACTTCTTGTTAAATTCCCGCTATAAGAGATTTTTTTATGTAGTAGTTGTTGTTGTTCTTGTTAGTTTCACTGGAAATTCTTCTTTTTTTTGGTTTGTACAGGAGCCTATAGGTCGATTGTCAAACGAAAGATATATATATTTGTATAAAAAAGATAATATAATCATTTTATGTAGATAGCTATATAAATACTATATAAATGATAAAATTGTTGTTTTCCTCCCTTCTTTTTTCTTCATTCTTTCTTCATTTTTTGTTTTGTTTTATTGTTATCGTTTTGTTTTTCGTGTTGTTCATCCTAATTGTTAATAAACGTTTCTTTTTAGTGGTGCAACATTTATGCGCGCGCACACATACATGCACAATAGAAAAAACAGTTTGCGATTATGTATATGCCAAATATATAAGTGTGTCTAATGTGTTTGTTTCGATTTTACCCTACGCACTTTTCATTACGCTACAAAACGATCATAATAATTTCTAATTCTGTTTGTTTGTTTTTTCTTCTCATTTGACTGCTTTGCATCGCATCTTTAATCAATTAATAATTCATGTCGCGCTTTTCTTCTTACTTGCGTTCTTCTCATTTGTTTTGTTTGTTTGTCTTGTCATAAAATTTCATTTTTAACATTGAGTATACGAAAATGCATAAAAATTAATTTCACTTTTTTGCTCTTAATTTCTATGAACTGTCGTCGGCATCTGTGTTACGAACACTCTTGTTGTCTAATGATATCCCGTTCAAATCTTCTGCTGAGTCTTTGAGATTTTTCTCATCCATGCGCAGGGTGAGATTGTCACGGAATTTCAGCAATGTTTCAACCGATTCCTTTGAAATGTCACGTTCAACAGATTCACGATCTGTGTCACCCGACGATGATCCCGTTCGTTCCCGTTTGATTGCCTGATGTACAAAACTAAATGGGCTTGCCGCACGCTTATTATTACTGTTGTTGGTATTATTTTCTGTATCGCCGCATACCGACTGTCGATTATTTTTGACTAATTGATCTAAAAGTGCACCATGTGGAATCGATTCGGATTTTCTATCTAAGCTATGACGAATGATACCATCCAAAAATGAACCATTCGCACCGCTTTCGTACAGATTTTCTAGCGTTAATTCACGTTCGTTTTTGCATTTTTTATTCAATTTAGCTAAATCGCTTTCCGATTTACTATTGGAATTGTTGGCATTTGAACGTAATGCATCTTCTTGGAAGCGCATCATTTGTGTTGCAAAATAGCTTTCGGCATTGCCGCCAAATGCGGCTGCACTTGCACCGGACGTTCGTTGAGGAAAATCGATCGGTAAACCTCCAAAGCCAGGTGCATGCGGCCAAAATAATTGAGGTGGATATTGTAATTGTGACGGATCAAATAAACCCATTTTTAAGCCATTTTCTGATGCGGCCGGAAATGGTGGCGTTTTCATCGGTGTTTTTGTTGTTTGCATTGTTGATTTTGATGCTTTGTCCAGACCACGCATACTTGCGCTAACCGTACCGGCCAAATCATGGCTTTTTACCGATGATATCGATGATGTGCTGCCACCACTGCTGTCCAATGGTTGTGGTTTTGGTTCACGCTTTCGCGGTCGCATTAAATGTCTCTCTTTGACTTTATATTCTAGCGTTGAGTGCGGTACACCGTAATAGCTGCCGGCTCGATGAACCGACATTTCACCACGTTGAACAGCTTTAACTGCTTCAACCAAACTGTCACGATCATAATTGCGATATTTTCCACGTTTGGGCCGTGTACCTTTTCCGCTATTATTTAAATTTGATGGCGAACTGGAGTTATTGGGATGTGGGTGCGAATGTGAATGCATCGATGTTATCATATTTGGATTGGTGGCAAATTTTGTTATATCGGTTCCGCCCAAATTCCGAATGACCGATATGCTTGGCCGCTTGTATTCTAGATTATCCATGGAAGGCTTATTCATTGTTTCCGCATTCTGTTGACTAAATGTTCGATTGATACTTTTGGCAATTACATCGCGCAACGAGAACATCCCTTTGCTGCCAATGCCAGGTATCGGCGGTGATTGAGAATCATTGTTTTGTCGATTGACTGGCGGTGAAATGTCAGCGGATAGATGCGCCTGAGGACTGCGCGAATGTAATGGCGGTGTGGTTTGTGGTGTTGAATCGTTTATATTATCACCATTTTTGCCACTGGTTGATGACGATGAACCAGCCAGTAATTTGTAGGACGGAATTTTTAGAAGTGCAGCCGCTTCATCGGCATTATTCAAATCTAATGTCGGCACTGTGTCTGGTGTTTCGGACTTGATCAGTCTATTTTGTTGTTGCTGAAGCAATGAAATGTTGTGCATTAGATTTCTGGAATCCGTTGGCTTACCATTGTTCAAATGATCGGCCGTTGTTGCCTTTGATGGTGATGTCGCTTGATTCGCTGTATTAAGCTTCATCAATTCCTGTTGTCGCATCAATAAACTGCGCAATATCTCTTGGAATGCTGGATCGTCATACTTTTGCTGCATTAAACCGGTGGCCAACAGCAAATTGGAAAATACATCCGGGCTAAGCCATGGATTATTGACCAGAGGCGGTGAGGAAGTTGTTGACGTGGATGTTTGCGATTTGTTCGATTGCATCTGATGCGGGGTAGGCGCCGTTGCCACACTTTCCGCCGATTTCGGGCTGTTGTTCTCGAATATTTTTTGTAGATTGGCCGCCGCCGACGATGCACGAGATGATGACAGTCGAATCATTTCTTCGGGTGTGAGCATTAAATCATCTTTCAGTTTGTCTTCTTCGCCACCAGACAATTCCTTATCGTCGTCATCGTCAAGGTCATCTAAAACAGAGGCTTGATTTAGCAGATTTGCTTCCCGTTTTTGCTCCATAGCCAATTTATAGACTTTGTTTCGTAAAGTCGATCTCGGTATACCATAAAGTACAGCAGCTCTTCGTGTGCCAAGTTTTCCACTGAGAATCGCTTCAAGGGCATTTTGTAACTCATCTTCAGTGTACGTTTTTCGACCGGCCACAGTTGACAGACGTGGTTTTGCTCTATATCATAAAAATAAATAAAAATAAAACACCATCAATAAATACGCAATTCAATGTATATACAAGAAAAATGTATTGGTTCGGTTCACTTGAATAAAAAACAAAGTTCCGAAATGTCACATCTTTTGTTCGCATGAGCCATATCAGAAAACAATGTAAACGAAAGATAAACATAAAACAAAATCACAAGAAATCGGGTAAAAATGCCCACAACATTTTTGCTGTGTGAAAATCCTTCAAAAAAAAGTGCATTGATATGCCATTCATCTTATTCTTGTCTCGTAACCGAGAGAGTTCATTTACAGTAAGAATCTTTTCAAGGATGCCGTAATAAATGCAAACTTGTTCATACGTGTCGGCATGATGAATTTAATTTTTCTTCTCTGTATTTCGCTCACTCATTCACGAATTATTTGGCTTGTGAAAACAGCGGAAGCAGCAAATAGATAATAAATTTTCATAAATCTTGTTTCTCGAAACCACAAATATCGTTTTGTTTTATCCGTTCAAGGTGAATGATGCAAAATGTAAATGACCCCCCTTTTTGTGTGATACATATTTCGTATACGCATATGAATATGATACAAAACCAGAAGCCACTTACGTTCTTCGAATCATTCGAATTCAATCCATCAATGCCGATTCATTTGGTTTCAGAAATCATACGCACAACAACAAACATTTCATTTTTATGTGCATGATAAGTCAACCTGTATTTATTTTTCAACCTCAATCAACTATTCTACTGCATCCGATTAAAAATAGTCCAAATCATTTCGAGCACATACACTTTCAAGGCAATTTAATTTTCAATCCAAAGAATAAGAACAAAAAATGCAGCTCGAATTGCGATTATCAATATTTATTTTGGATGTTAATAACAAAAAATATATATATTGAGATTCAAGTATCAGGCTTTGTTCGTCTTTATATATGTTCGGCCTCGTGTTAAGCAATTCATGTGCTCGGTTCATTCACACTTGGTAATAAATAAAACGAAATATTGTTTCTCATCAAAAAAAGTACAAAAATAATGTATTCGGTCAAAATGACTGTTGATGCGAAATTTGATAGAAATTTTTGAAATGATACGCATTTATGTCATTCAAACTCGAATAAAGGTCCAAGCACCAATCCCAATTTATCTCAAATACTTTGGTATTGAAAAATACTTGAACATTGAATGTTATTTATTCGAAAAAGGTTCGATAATTTTTGGATCGCCCCAAATATTCAGTTTTACTGTTGAATTGCCAAAGAAAATGCATTGTATTTTACATTGCCCTGATGCGATTTCGCAACCAGTTGAGCTGCGATAATAAACCGGGTGAAGTGCGTGCACAAAACGTAACGCGAACAACAATAGCAACGCGACAAATGTAATATATGCGGCACTTGTCTCTTAACAATGAAATTGTCTGTTCCAAACAAAAATTCCTCGTTTTGATTCGTCCATTTCACTTAATGAATCCATCCAGTTTGTTCGCCTTTCTCAATTTATTTCAGCATATGACTCAAAATAAGATACATTTTGACCTAGGACGCGTAAAAATTGCATCGAATTTTTTTTCTTTCGCTCGATAAATATATTATGATTCTACAGTTTATTTTTTTTTTTCGTTCTCTCGTATTTTCTTTTCGTTAAATAAGAAAATGGGTTACGATCTGTATCACAATCAGATGCATTGATACGATGTCGAGAGAACAGAAGGAAAAAAAAACGATAAACGATATAAGACGAGCACGCTTGGGAATGAAACTTGAAAATAAAATGAATTGACCAATGACGAAAGTACAAAATATTTCATTGTTGTTGTTGTCGCTGTTGAACGAAATTCGTTTGCGAAAATATGATTAAAATTCTTTAATTGAGGTCACTTATGTTGATTTTACGATTAAGTTTTTGCTCTTAAGATAGGACAATGAGCGAGACCAAGATAGAAATAAAAAAGAGGAAGAGAACGTGAATGTAAGCAACGAGTACTTGCACGTAAAAGCCCTTCAATATCCAATATATGTGCAGTTGTTTGTGTTATCATTGTTTATGTGCTCCCCTTTTTCCTCGCGCTCTCTCTTTCCCTCTTTCTCGTTCTCATTTTATTTCGTTTATATATATATGCTTTCATTCGATTGCTTTTTGTTGTCGTTGAGTTCGACTATGTCACTCGAAAACGTTTGTCTCTCTATATAAATTCAACATCCTTTTGTAAACATTTAAATGTTCGATGATGGTTAAGTTATATGAGAAATTGATGTGTGAAAGTATACGAGTAGGAAAATGTGCCGTATTCGACATTTAAACAAAATAACTTCGAATTCAACGTCAAACATACGTCTTTTATTTGAAATGATAAAACTGTACTTCAATATGGTTTGTATGGGAGCGCGCGCTTGAGCGCGAGAGCATCGGATTCTCTTTCTTTCTCTCTATCTCTCTCTCTGTGTGTTTTTTTGTCTATTTTTGTTATCCGCATTATAAATGTCATTCAATTCGATTAAAAAGGCAGACAAAAAATGTCGGATTCGTTGAATTTTTATTCAGAAACATGTCAAAGCATAGTTTCAATGGTTTTATCTTGTGCCGTTGTTGTCATCGTAGTTTTTACTTAAATCAACTAGAAATAACTGGATTATTATGGGTGCACATTATTATTATCTAGTGGATATGCGCGCGGCACATACATGGATCAATGCAATGGGAAGGAGGATATCATCATCATCAACAACAACATCGCCACCATTATCATGCATTTGGTGAGTGTGCATACACCAAAGTCAGTTATATTGTTTTCCATATTCTGACACGCTTTGGCATTGCAGAATGATTACTCCCTGTGATCCAATTCGATGAAACAGTGCTCGAATAATAACAATAATGAAAAGCAAAATAAAAAAAATGGAAAGAAAATTCGAATGAAAACCATCAGAAAATTGCAGAAAATGAAATGGAAAATTAAACTTTCCATTTGACATTAGTACAATAATTTCCATTCGAAACACAGACATTCTATTCAAATTGAACAAGCAGAATTATTGAAAAATTCTTACTAAAATTGTCATTGAATCGATGAAATTTCGAGTGAAATAAAGAAGAAAAATGCAAATCATCAGAATGGAGGTCTTGAAAGTCTAAAGAATTATGACATAGACACGATTGGCAAATTGGTCTCTGTTTACGTGATAACAACTGACTGCATGATGCAATCGCAAACCACAAGAGGTTTTTCAGACAAAAAAAAATACAGAGACCCATTCAATGGATAATCGAAGGCTTTTGTTGCATTGCATAAAATATTATTAATAATAATAATGACGATGATGATGAAAACAGAGAAAAGTGCATGAAAAAACACATTCATATTCGAAAAATTACGTTTGGACAGGGAAAATCGGTCGCGGAATGTGTTGAACGTACAATAAACAAATGCATATTCTGTTTTTCAACGATGGCGCATATTCAGCACGCTCCTCAATATCAACACAATACTAATTAGGTTAATTGTTATCGTGTTTTAATATGATGCAATTTATCAATGCACTTTGGGGAAAGTGTACAAAATGATATAAATAAATACACGAAACCAAGCAAAAAAAAACAACAAATTAACCATGATAGCACAAAGCGAACACATTTACATGGCGCATGGCAAAATATGTAATCATTTTTTGGTTCCATCTAAAATGGAAAACTGACTCACAATCAATAATAATAAATGCTAATTGACAGTGCACGTTTTGAGAGAAAATGAAACGACACATAGCAAAAAAAAAGAAGAATGGAACGAATTAGAAATGAAAAAAAACAGAGAAATGTTTTGTTACCTGAAAACTTGTTTCGGATCATTTGAAAGTGTTGGCGTTGTTGATGGCTTCGCGCTTAGATCAAGCGGCTGTTCAGTATTCAGATCAACTGGACTCGGTGATGGCTTTGCACCTGGACTTTCAGCCGACGTTGATTCCGTCGTTGTCGTCGCGTTCGAATGCATTTGATGCATAAACGGATTATAGATTAACCCTGAAATATGAAACAAACATGTTTTATGTGCCATTTTCACTCTCTCTATCTATCTCTCCCTCTCCCTCTCCGTCATTTTCATTTTCAAACCAAATGAATGCAATGCATATGCTTTATTTGGCTGCGAAAAAAAATTGATACAATATGATAGTCACCTGGATATAGCGGTGATAGTCCATTAAGCGATGCGATGGTTGCTAACTGTGCTGTCATCGATTCGAAGGAAGTCATATTCTGTTGTAATAAAGAATTACGTAACAGATCGGCTACGGATGGCGTTTGTTTGTTTATCTTATTCAATGGTGTGTTGTAATTTGAAATTTCTTGCTCAGAACAAACACTAGAGTCAGAATCTGACTCTATTATCGTCTACAATATGGAAAAAAACAGGAGACAAATAGAGAAAAAAAGAGTTAAAGAAATGAAAAGAGTTGAAGAAAACATATTTAAAGCATACAATATTAATTGTTCAACCACTAAATTATTATTATTATTCTAATTTTTTGGCTTTAGACAAACTCGGTTGTATGTGTATGGTACGTACTCTGTTGGCGAGTTCTGGTTCGGTATGCACCGAACCCGACTCTGCCACTAAGTCTCCTTTGTCGTTCACGGTGAGTAATTTTCCGTCTACACAAAAGTAACAATTTTCTTGTGGCTTCCAATCGATGGGCGTTTGCAATTTCTCTCGATCGTCTGCTTCGTCACTAATACTATTGTTATTATGTGATTTATCGGCTACGTTTTTGTTAGTTTTTAACGAAAAATCTCCTGAAACAAACAAACGAAAAGATAAAAACCAAATCATTCAAATTGTTTCATATATTTTTTTTGTTGGGGAAGTTGATTCACATTATTCGAATCTTACCGATTTCGGAACTTTGTTCTATGTTCAATTTACTATCTGTATTATCTTTGTTGCTCGTTACTGTTCCAGTAGCGTTTTCTAATTTTTCTTGTGGAATGGTGCACTGTTTCAAATCTAGATCAAACAAACAAATAAAAATTGAACAATTTACATACAATTCATTATCGCCCAAAAAAAACGTTCGGTAGTTTTTGCTCTCGTTTCCCGAATGAATGACAAATTAAAAATGTCGATTATTTCAGGATGGGTAAAGAAAAAAATGGTTAAGTTCACTCACTCTGTAGTTCTTGTTGCTGTTGCTGGCTGACGTTGTCGGCACGTGATGAGTTTTGTGTATTTTCTTGAAGCGATGACGAATTCCCTTCGCCGTTGTTGCAATGCACGTCTATCAGAAAACTTTTATTTCGTAAAACTGTATTTGTGAGATTTTTTTTCGATTTTATTTGAATTTAGAATGTTTTTTTTTTTTGTAGAAAATTATGAATTAGTTACCGGTTTCGGTAATATTGTTGATTTGATTGACTGTTGAATTCGAATGGGAACGCACAAGTACTTCTTGATATAGTTTCCATTTCCTGCGACCCATCAATTCTTCAGCAATTCGTTCTAAACCTAAATCAAAAAATGAAACAAGAACAAACAACATACGATTATTATTGATTGTAAAGACAATAAAAGAATGCAAAAATGTCAATCGAGGAGAAATAAAGAGAAAGAAAAAACATATGGTCAAGCACATAAATTACATTATTGCAAACAGTTTTCAGATGTTTGCAACATTTTGATCGAAAGCTTTCAACTCAAATAATATTTGTCAAATCAAACAACGTTGTTATGGCACATAACAGCAATATAAAAGTTAAAATTGTTTCTGATTTTCATGAAACCCGATGTGCATGAAGACCACAATTAGCAGTCTCTATATCAATAGAGTAGTGCACATTTTGTGCTTAATCTTACATACGGATGACTGAAAGCAGTAGTAGTTTTTAGTTGTGCAAATGTGATTGCAATCTATCGTTTCCTCCAATGCCAATGCAATATGAATAAAACCCTAATGCAATAATTATACCATATTGAGGGTCTGATGTTTGTGTGTAATTCGATGTGTGGTGCGTGATGCATTCCTTTGATCTTATTGAACGGTTATATTCTTCTTTTGGTTGCATTATTAACTAAGTGATTCGATTGGCATACTTCAACCAAAACATCATTTCAATGAAGCCCCAATTTTGAGTTTTCATCGAATTGCACGATGTATATAAATACATGCGATAAATGTATTATGGGGACATGTTTTCATGCATTCAATTCGTCTTAAAATGCTCAATCAATCACACACACACACACACACTCACTCACTCATTCGCTTACAAAGTGAATTAATAAACATCTCATTCTCCCTTGAATTTGCTTCATCACTTGCAATCGTTTCTGTACCGCAAATTTATTGTGTCGTACACAATATTTTTGCAATATTAATCTGGTAGATAACAGAAATCATATTATTTCATCAGTGCAAATCTATGTGTCGCATTATTTATCCATTTCCTTATCCGTGTTTGTGTATTACTTTATAATGAAAGATCAAGAATAATGTTCCAAACTTTATTATTGTTATTATTAATTTGGCATTACAATATGTAGATCCTATGTGGATATTTGTAGTTTTAGTTTGGAAAACGAACGGAAAACGATGAAATTCAACAACGTCCATGCAAATGTTTATTTATTCGTTTGTTTGTTTGTTTATTTGTTTGGGCTAAAACCACCAGACGAATATTTGCTAAATAATTACATTCATAACAATGGAATTTATCATCAATTGCGTCATTTTCCTTCGCCGTCACCACGAAAATGTCACATTCTTTTCAAAGTATAAACCAGAAATCGACCACCAATTCATTTAAACACACAAATCAGAACATTAAACCACTCACAGAAAAAGTGGAGGCGGTTTTTCCGCAAATTATTGTAGCAACAGCAGAGCTGCAATAAAAATGTGTTTCTTGTAGCTTATTTTGACAGCTACGTACAAGTGTGTGTGTTTTGACATTTTACATTATTTGTAGCATCTGTATAAACTAAAAAACCAATGTGATGTTAATAAAACATTTTAATATTTATTTTTTAAATAATTTTAGAAATGTCATTTTGACAATTTAAATTCGTGATTTCAGAGATGAAAAAAGTGTGAAGAATTATTTTCCACCGAAATTTTCAACCAAATTCGACACAATTGCTCTGGCAGGATTTTTTAACTTGTAAATATACGAAAAAAATTTGATATTCATTACTTTTTTTTAAATTAATAGTGATGTTGCTTTGACATTTTTAAATCTTAATTTCAGAGATGCAGGTATATAATCTTAGGATTTAAAGAATTTGATTCCAGAATCCGAGTTTAGTTTTCAGACATCAACGTCAGTGATGTTCCCAAACATCAAATGTAGATGGTGTGTTAAAATCGCTATCGCACACTTGTCTACACTTGCACTCCACTTTTTCTGTGAGCATGTATGAATGTACAAACGAACTTTTCAGTTTCAGTTTATTAATGAGTTTAACGATTAAATTGAAAACTTTTTTTTGCGCTTTTCAAACAAATACAAAGTCTGATGTGTTACACATCATATATGTGTGTGTGTTGTTTTTTAAACAACCTAATGCTGATTCATGCTGTCGATAATTTGTGAATATTTCGGATAAACAATAAAAATGGTAATCAGCCCGTCCGTTGGAAATCGTCATTAAAATACTTTTGATATTAAATGAAACACGTAAACATTCGTCACAAATTGCATATCATATTTGCAAATGGATGAAGTAAACAAATAAGCGTCTGTATTAATGTTAAATAGCACCTAGTTTTTTTTCGTTCTTTCTATACCCTCTATGCTCACTTTTTCACATAACTCGAATAAAATATTTTCCGGTAAATAAAGCCGAATAATCCGCGTAATTACATAATTCCCCAAGTCACGAAAATGGAAATGCACACATAATCAACGCATTCAATATGTGATCAACGACAGCAATAAAGTGTTCACATTTTATGCTGCCAAATATTGAATTTATTTAAATCGTTACAAAATTGATGCGTACATTTTGAAAAGAGCGACCAGGAATGCGGGTCATTTTTTATCTACTGCGAAATATTTTTTATTTTTATTTTGATTAAACATCTGAATATATGTATATATTTTTGAATAATTTTTATTTTCACTGGAAATGGAATGTGGTGCGGTCAATGGTTTTGCAAATATGGCAGAAAACTGTACCGCACAAACAAATGGCCTGCGAAGATAAGAAATGCATTTCAACAATTTTTATATTAGATGATTAATTTCTGTTCATTTTTATGCATACGACCGGAGAATTCTGTTAAAATACCAAGAAATTCGAATTTATTTACAATTCTGCGCTTCGTAGATCATCTCGTCGTGGGTGGATTTGGAACGGAATTTTTATAATTGCGCAAGCACACGCAAACACACTTTGAATTTTTTCGTACATCGCATCAGGCTACTGAAAATATAGAAAAAGACCTCCCAATCTGTTTGCTCTATTCGCTCGATGATGATATATCAATTGTTTATTCATTTTTTGTTTTACTGCAAAATGTGTTTTCTTTTGTCGTTCATTCTCATCGCAAGAATCTCTTGCGATTATCTTTCACATTGTTTCAATTCAGTGTTTTTTTTTCGCTTCTTCTGAATAATTGACGGACACAATTGTATGTATTATCGGGTAATTTTAGAATAGTTTGTGTATGTTTGACCATATCAAGTGTCACAAAATAATCCGCTGGTATGTACGCCATTGAATCAAGTGTCGACGTATTGTTTTTGATTTCAAAATTAAATTCAACTAAAATTGCCATTTGCAATGAAATTGTGTCGACAACGGCAAAATACGATAGCAACTGTATCCGGCCAAGTGGTTGGATATCACATTTTTGCTTGGTGCATAAACTTGAAAGTAGTTCTCTAATTTTCCTGCGCGTTTGATAACAATAACAAAAATAAAATGAAAAAAAAAATTATATGCAATCGATAACCAATAAAAGTTTGCCATATCAAACATGAATCATTTTTGATTATGTGTCACAATGAAATGTTTATCGCATGAAATGTGTCCTTAAAAAAAACAAGAAGTAAAATTGTCGGTTTTCATTTTATTAAAACAATTTCTGTGCATTTTAAATGATATATGTTCTTGAAAATACGGAAGCAACAATTTCAAGACAAAAAAGAATCAACAACGAAAATCTCCGAAATAAAATTGAAATGCGCTCGCGATAAAAGCGAATGACGTGTATGCTTGGGGGCTATGGCCAAAACAAAATACGAATAAAAGACAAAAAAAAACGAGAAGAAGAATATGGAACGTTGTACAAAACACACATTGCATGTGCAATGTGTTCGGTGTTTCACATTCGTACGGGTATATGTATTGTTAGGTGTTGAATTTCGTCTTCAGTGAACCAAAAATTATTTTTTTGGTGTGTGCTCTTGTTTATTTTGTTTTCGATTTTATTTTCGTCTTAACCATGACCTGCCCCAAAAAAATGGTAATACATATAAAAATCATCGTGGTCTAGCCACTCTACCAGCACGCCAGCCGAAACAAACTGTTGAGCTTCAAACATATGTCCATGATGTACAAAACAGTGTTGTATATGCATTTGTATATAGAACGTAAAACATACAAACGCTATGTATATCTCTATCTCACTTCTGTAAATATTCTGTGTGTCCCTGGTCTCCCCTTCTCTATATCACTGGGATATATTTTCGGTACGTGTGTACAATTTGGCACACAGTGGATGTACAGAGAGAGAGAGAGAGAGAGAGAGAGAGAGAGAATCAGAGTTGGAAGAGAGTGTGAGAGAGAATTTAGTGCTGGTGTACAAGTCTCATACACACAACGTGACAGTGTATGCATATGGATATTTTGGTAGTTTGCCGAAACATGAACTTGGCCAAATAAACGGCATAGTTTGAAACTTATTTTTACTTTTATTTTCGGCAGTCAACGAACTTTCTCTCTCTTTGTGCGCAGTTTTATAATAAGTGAATGTGTTGCAATCGTTCTATTTATCATCAACCGAGAACGTTAACCCAACTTTTGGCCCACATAAAACGTTCATTTCAACGATAACGCATACACAAACCGATACAATATTCTCTTGTTCGCTTTTTTCGGGAGTTGTTGTTGTTGTTTTTTTTATGTGTTAATTTTAAATTGGTTTATAGCGGAATTTACACAATGCATGTGGTTTATTTGCTGATGCAAAAAATATTGAGTAGATTAAATATGAGATATGACTAACTACTTGAACGGCAAAAAAACACGTCAAGGGACATTTTTTTTAATAATTTTTTTTTGTGTGATGATTACGCCTTTCTCAATTTTCATGCATAAATAATGTGCGTCATTTGGATATTGCGGTGCCGTAAACAACTGCAATTCTACGGATTAATGCGGATGTCATTTATGCCAATGTTTTCAAAATAAATCGATCACGTAATAAAATACTTTTTAAAATTATTTAATTACAGACCAAAAAGTACTGTTCCAATATTTGCACTTTTGTAGGGTTTTTCATT